TCAAAAATTGAATTTGAACTGCTTATTGATTCAGACAACGGTTCTGATACTTCCTGTTCACCACATTTTGTTGACTGAAAAAAAAGATACTAATTATTTGGGAAGCCTGTAAAACTTCTAGCGTTACAGTATTAAAAAACCGCCATATACTAGTGTGACTCGCGCGACGAGGGTTCCACCTCTCTTAAGTCCCGTAAATATACTTAACATTACAAAAAATTCGTTCGTCGTCTAATCAGAAAATAAAACTAAAATCCAAGCAATGTTATATAATAATATAATTACGTTATCGCATGGTACTTCTGATTTCTGAATTACATTTAAATGATATTTTTAATTGAATATTTTAAAAAGAACATTTTTTTATATTTTACTATGTAAAATATAAAAAAATGTACTTAATGTATTTGTAACAAAACTTATTGATATAACATATAATTTACAAATATATTTATTTAGATTAGAATAAGAGTCGTTCATAAATGATGGGCACGCGAGAGTTAAAAAATTGATGAATTTAGTCCATTTTTCCCTGTTTTTATGGCTTGGACGTGGAAACCTAAAAATAAAATAAAAGACTAATCAGCAAATTTAAATATCAGAAATTTAGCCTAATTATGAATACTACCATTTGTTTCTACAAAAAAAAAACAACATATTGTGCATAATCATTCTCAGACTTAAGTACCGACAGAAACGTCGCATCTGAATAAATTAATTTCATAATCTATATTTCATGGCCTGAGATGGCGTCTTTTGAATAATTTGTTTGATTAATTATTAATCTATAATATTTTTTTATTAACTATTTTACTCACCGATGAAAAGTTATTCCTTGGTATTTGCTAAAATTTCTTGAATTATTTGTGCAATTTCTAAAACACACCGTGGCGTAATTTATCAAGAACTTTTTTATATAATCAACACAGCATGTGTTAACTCACTAGCGCCTAGCGAGCACAAACCACAGAACACTAATACCTATAAACTATATAGAAACTAGCGAGCGACTGAGTAAAGGTAAAGTGCGGCAATATCACCGCAGTTCAATGGAACAGCGTAACATAATGCAGTGTCGCCTCTAGTATGTAGTACATAATAGCTCAATGATTAGTGTTGCATTTTTGGTGAGAATAAAATATTAATACCATTGAAATTAAGGCAAATTCGTGGATTTGAATGATCAAAAGTGGTTTAATATTTTATTTTAATTTATTTCCATACTAGTACAAAACTGGGCCTACGCTTCATACAATTTTGGACCGTCTCCTTTAAAATGATATTACCACAATTATTTCTTCTGCGGCTGCAACGCGCCGGGTACCAGCTAGTATTCTAATATAAACGAGTGTTTTCAAAAATTATGAATGCAAAGTGAATATCGTAGATTTATATAAAATTAAATTGTGTAGTGTGTGAAAGTAGGGTGAACTATTCTATAAACTTTTAAGCTAATTAAGTAATTAAAACATGTTATTTTGTGGCATGTAAAGCATATAGACAAATAAAAAACTAATAGCAGTTGCAACTACTGTTAACATAGAAATAATTGCAAACTATACTATATACTATACTGTTAACATAGAAAAATTTGAAACAACTGCGTACTACAATTAACATAGAAATAATATAAAAATTTTACATAGGTAATTAACAGGAGATACAGTAATAAAAGATAACAATAAGACATTGTCAAATCTTACATATTATTCTTAATCTATAATTATAAAAACATATATATTAAAAATAATAAAACTAACAATAATAACGAAAAAAAGTCCTTGTAAAATATTACATCTTCTTAGTCTATATAATTATAAAAACTATTATAAATAACAAAAAATGCAGTAATGAAAGAGAACAGAAAGAAAACATAAAGACATTCTTTTATATCTACTTACTAATTTAAGCATTTTTACTACTATTTACAATCTTATTAAAGTTCTTTACGTTCTTTCATTTAGTTTTATGAAGGAATCCAGAGCCGATTCCTAAGTTTTTAGTTCCATGAGTTTGTATGGCGACACTCTTAAGTTATTGTACAGTAATTCATGGTTTATTCTGTATCGGCAGAAAGCGGCGCAGTTCTCCAATAGATGTCCCAATGTCTGAGCTGTGCTGTTGTTGCATGGACATTTATTGTTTATAATGATATTAAAGCGGTGAAGATATGTTTTATGATAACCGTTTCCGGTGAGAAATTGTGTAAGGTAGAAGTTAGTTGGAGTCAATGTTCGCAGCCTTTCAATACCTATCATTCAGTGTGGGAAAAAGGTTTCTTGTGCGTTTTTCCTGTGATGCATTGAGGTACCTAGTTTGCCAGGTGGAGATATTGCTTTTCCTAATTATGTAATAGGCATCAGGCATCCGCACTAGCGGCCTTATCGGCAGCTTCGTTACCCGATATACCCGAGTGTCCCTTAACCCAATTGATGGGTATGGTGTCTATAAATTTGTGTTGATGTAAGTATTTATGTGTTATTTCTGTACTGAATTGCATGAATGGATGAGCGTGAGTCAGTGTATATGATTGCGCATGTGTATTTGTGTGAGGTGCGAACAATTCCGCCTGAAACACTGTGCAACTGTCTTGAAGCTTAAACTTTCTGGTTGTCGCTATGGAGTGAGGGTTGTGTTGATTGTAGCATATAAAGGTGGCTCCTACGGCTCCATCCTGCTGCCTGCTGACATCCGTGTAAAATGTATAATGTGCCGTCTCTTCGTAAGGTCATTGGTAATTGGGTGTGTTATATGAGTGTATAGTGATTCGGTCGGCGGGATCAAGCAATTCATGTATAGGAGTGGGTTTCTCCAAGGAAATGTCGTGAGGAATGTAGTCAGACATCCCCAGAAGCCTAGTCTTTTGAATGTTATAGACCTCTTTAATTTTAAGGTCTAGGGGCATACACTGGGCGATTGCAATGGCGGCAGGCGTCGATGTAGTGTGAAATCCTCTCGTGCTCTCGAGACTCCTCCTGATGTACTTTTTGTGTACAATATGTCCCCATATTCCCGCAGCATATATGATCGTGGGTAAAGTCACCCAATGATAAATTGTACTAACGTTTTCTGGGTGAGCGCCCCAGGTGGGCCTCGAGTACATGCAAAGAGTATTAAAGATTAGCAGGGCCATCTGCTTATAACATGTGGGACATGACGCCCGAAAAGCTGCTTTTCGTCCAGTATGATCCGCAGCAGTTTTAATTCAGGTTCGAAAGTGTGATGGTATCCATTGTTGTAAATGTTGGCCGATTTTGCTTTGGGTGTAAAAGCAATAAGTTTTGTCTTGGCGGGTCCAAATATTAATTTGACACTCGCTCCCCACTGAACAATTTGGGAGAGTGCCAGATTGGTAATGTTCTCTAAATCGCATACGTTTGCAACAGTGACTCCTAGGAGGACATCATCCGCGAATGCCCATAGATGGCAACCTGCTGGTAACCTCATGTCTAGGAGTTCATTAGGTATGATATTCCATAGGAGGGGACCACACGCGGAGCCTTGAATACAGCCCTTCGACATCGTCTTCGTGGCCCGCCTCCGTGCATGATATATTCCATAGAAACCGCTGATGATATATTCCACAATACGGTGAACTTGTTGGGGACAAGAATGTTTCGCTCGGAAACCAAATTGGTGGGGGATGACTAGAGGGTCGCCGTCTGCGGGAAACAGATGAAGACTCATGCGAGTAAGGATGACTCGTTCGAAGAGTTTTCCCATGGCCTTGAGGAGGCTGATAGGACGATGACTGGAGGGGAGGTTGAGACGCTTTTCTGGCTTGGGGATACCAATGACAGATTTGAAGAATTTGTTGCCTTCCGTCCAGCTGATTTCTTCAATAAGGGCATTAATAAACTGGGAATGCGTTGGCAAAGATGAATCGATTGCATGGGTTTCTTTTTTTTGTTTTTTTTTTAAAACGTTACCTCCGCACTAGGATTTTCTCCTGTATCGTGGAGGCAATTTACAAATATAGATTGTACGAGGACAAACATCCAGACCTGGAACAATTATTTATAGGCCATACAAATTCTTGTACCGTGTGGGATTCGAACCCGCGGCCCCCAGCGCAACGACTCATTGCTAAGCCACTGTGCTATGGAGCCGGTTTGTGTTTGTGTTTTGGATTACCTTAATTAATAGAGTAAAAACATAGAAAAAAATTACGTTTAATTATTTCATAAAAAACGGCAATTTTATAGGTATATATAATATGTGAATTAGCTAAAGGTACTGTTGCTGGGATTTACAACGGTCGGCCCGCGTGTGCAACGCATGCCAATAAAAAACATGCATTTGAAAAGATATGATGTTAGAGGGCCGCTTGCTGACAAAACACGTGTTCAGGCTCAAATGTGCATGACAGTAAAGGGACCACAATAATAAATCAGTTGATAAAATAAAAACAATGTAACAAAACTTTTCGGTTGAAAATAATGGGGATAACGTATAAAAATGGTGGTGACCTCCTCTTTATTTATGGGTTTAATACGAGAAACAAATACAAGCTAGTAAATACCAGTTACACGATTTCACAGAGTCATTTATTTATCCATGCATCAGGCTCTACCACGTATATGTTTGTTATATATCATTTTTTGAATAAGGGAAGTGATATTGCAGGAGCTCGTCCTTGTATGTTATGAAATAAATCAAATAAATAAAATCAGGTAAATTAGATAAGGGCTTGCCCTTATTTGATTTATCAAATTTAAGTGGACATATCAGTTTAGCGTACTGTTTTAAATTATTATCAGTCTTACGTTATTCATGTTTCATATAGCCAATTCAGTAAAAAAATTGGACAAATATTATTGCTAGTCATCTTAATATAAAAATGTAACTAGTAAGTTTAATGAAATTACATAGGAATATTTCATGCACCACGCAAGCGTTTTGTTTGTTATGAAATTTTAATGATTTGTGTTGTTATAAAAGCAACAGTCAAATGCAATGTATTCAGTGTATGATTCTTAAGAAAACGCTTCACAATAATAATGTCTTCATTTACCGTTTTTTTAATATGTGCACAAGTGTATTTTATTCAGGTAATAACTTATAGAGTTTGTAACTGCAAAAATATCATTTTTAACGACTTTAAAAAGGAGACGGTACTCAATTAGACTGTATATTTTTTTTTGTGTGTTACCTCATAACTTTTTTCTAGATGAACCGATTTCGATGACTCTTTTATTATTTGAAAGCTCGTGCTTTTCATGTTGTCCCTGTGAACAAGGTCTGACCAATAGTTTTTTTGAGTTATTCTTAATAATTTATATTGAAGTTGGTTGTACAAAATTTTTAATTTTAAATTATTCGTTTAAATATTTGGCTCTGGTGTGATGTGAAAATCCGGTTATTATAATCATAAAAAGTTATAACGCTAAATCCATTTTTGTAAAATATCACTTGGACAGTTGCCGCATACTGTAATGTAAAGATAATCATTTATATTTTATTGCGGGAACAGATTCTAGTTCAATCCCTTAATACGTTCAATTGTATATTTTCAGAATGCCTACTGCCAGTGTTTGGGCACCGGACTTGGCTTGGGGTATGCTCCGGCTATTGTAGCTGAAAATGAGATCGGTTGCGGAGCCACTCTTGCGGCGGATTTAGCTTACGGTCCCGGCTTTGCTCCTGGCCTTGGATACGGATACGGATACGGTCTCGCTGGTCCAGCTGTTATGGCAGGTCCCGCTGCGTATGGTACAGGTCCGGCTTACGGCGGTACTGGTATAGGAGAGGTAGCGGCCACCGGCGAGATGCCAGTCGCCGGTACTACTCTTGTCGCAGGTCAGGTGCCCATTCTTGGTGCCGTGCAGTTCAGGGGTGAAGTTCCTGCTGGTGGTGTGGTATCCATAGCAGGAAGATGTGGCTGTGGTTGCGGTTGTAACGGACCTTATGCAGCGTAGAACATCACAACATAATAATATGAATAGTTACTGTAGTACGTAATACATATGTCTATTTTTGTAAATAAACGAATCATAAATGTATATTTTTTAATGTTTATTATACAAAAATACAGTCGGTTATTTCTTACACTACTATCGCCAAACTGCAGGACAGTTTGTTGGCGAATACATTCTATGTACCTACTGTAATTAATAACTTAATCTTGGACTTACAACTTAAAATAGAAGAGAAAAAAATGATAAAAAAATAGAAATTTACTTAATGTTACTTAAGAATATTACTTAATCTATATCTATACATATAATAAATCTGTAGAAAAGTCGTGTCTGTAATTCTAATATATTCTTGAAAAAACAAGTCAAGGGGACTAAATAAAGGGTTCTGAAGCCAAATTAGTGGTTTTTAGAATTTTGTCTGTCTGTCTGTCTGTCTTTCTGTCTGTCTGTCTGTCTGTCTGTGTATTCCGGATTCACGCAAAAACTACTGAACCTATTTACATGAAATTTTGTATGTAGGTAGTCAGTAACCCGGGGCAACTTATAGGCTACTTTTTATCCGATTATGGAACTTCAAAAAAGAAAGGTTAAGTATATTAATTTCCTTTAGATGTTAATTTTCTGTTGTACCTTAGTTATATGCGGAATGACGGGTGTTTTTCAAATAAATATCATATTACCATATTTTTAAATAAAGTTAAAATATAGTTATAATCTTGGTAAAATAATTTGAAACTACATCGATTTCGTATTCAAAACAGCGCCATCTATCATCAAATAGAAAATGTTGTATATTTTGCCTTCAGTTATAACACGCGTCACGTAAAAAGAACGCTGGAAGAAAGTGGTGGGAGTGTGTAATTGCGCATGGGTACAGTCTCGCACGAAAGTTATGTGCCTATTAATTTATTTTTTAACTAGGCTTTCGCTCGCGGGTCGTGGCTTCGTACCTATATATTTGTTATTCTTATTAGTTATAACATTGAAAAATATATTAGATAAAATATCAATAAAATGAATTAAAAACATGTTTGAATTATGTATTATAGAATGTTTAATCGAAATAAAATTAAAGTAATGTTGAAACTCCTTCCATTAAGTCATCATGCGTGACGTGAAAACCAGATGAGGACGCGGTGTTGGTGCTAGAAGTGGCCATTTCATCGTCGTCGCTGTCGTCACTCGAGCTTCCATCCTCATCTGAGTCGGAATCATGATCCCCTATGTGGATAGCAAATGTTTCTGTCATCATGTCCACCACATGATCGCTTTTACAGTAATCAGCCTCTATTTCTTTTACCTTCGTGCATAGCTTCCCCCATTCTGTTGCTCCCATTAAATTTACTTTTTCACGAATCAACTCAGTTATACGTGTCAGGTTCCAAGTTACATTTTTACAGGCAACATAACTTTTTATTTGGGACCAGGCCATTTCAATAGGATTCAGGTCCGGGTGATCTGGGGGCAAACGAAGTACAGAATGTCCTGCTTCGTTCAAAATAGCATCGATATTAAATTTCTTAAATTTATCTTTGCATTTTTTATTAAGTTGTCCGGCTCCGGCTTTAGCATGGTCTCTTCAAATTCAATACCTTTTTGACGAAGCCAGGTTTGCATGTCTGCTTTCTTTGAATTGGACGTTGGTGCAGCATCGAGTTGTTTATTGTGGTACGATGCATTATCGATTACCACGACTGAATTAGGCGGTAAATTTGGTATCAGTTGAGTACGGAGCCACCGCTCGTAATTTTCAGAATTCATATTGTCATGGTAGTCGCCGCTTTTTGTACCGGCTTTAAACGTCAGTAAAGCATTCGGCACAAAACCTGCATCGCCACCCGCATGCACTATGACTAAGCGGCTACCTTTAGATACAGGTTTTTTAATGCCCTTGGTGGAACCGTCTGTCCAAGCATGGTGAGACGCATGGGAACTATCGACGTATGATTCGTCAGTGTAAATGATAGGTCTTACTTCCTCTCTATATTTTTTAATCTTTCTCAGATATTCAATTCTTTGAAATCGAATTTGTGACTGCTCAATTAAGATTTTTCTATTGGTTTCCGTTTTTTTCCATTTAAAACCCAAGTTTTTCAATACTCGCCTGAGACTTGCTGCAGATCCTTGGAAATGTATGTCATCCTGTAACTTCCTTTGCAACTTGCCTATGGTAGGCAATTCTTTTTCAGTAACGTGAAAATTATGGATCATTCTTTTTATAACACCCTGGTCAAAGCTGTCAATGTCTGTTATTGGTTTTGTTTTTTTTCTTTTATTTTTGCCGGGAGTTCGGAAAACAGTAAGAAATTCCGAATCTTTTGAACCCTTTACTATTCGTCTCACTGTCGACTCGGAACATTTTGTTGCCTCTGCGGTCCGTTTCATACATTGTTTTAAATTATTAACTACATTATTATCAGCTTCCCTCTTCATAAAACAGTATACGTCATAAATCATTTTTCTCACTTCTCTATGTAAAACCATTTCGTAATTTAAAACTTTTGTGCGCGATGGTATTTTTAAAAGGAACGTAACGTGGATATACGCGGGAAGCAAAGCTCAACTGATGAACCAATAGCGCATCGGTAAACATGCGGCGCGTGGCTCACCCGCCCCGCGCCCTACCTCATACCACCAAGTAGACCGATAAATCGCCTATGCGCAGCTTTACCGCCAGCGTTCTTTTTATGTGACGCGTACTATACTAACATACATTCTGTGTACTAAATATCGGGAATTTGTCAATAAAACAAAAAATACAAATTATTCATCTAAATTTATTTTATCGCCTTCAAAGTAGGCCCCATCGCTTGCAATACAACATCTCCAACGCTTCACCCAGTCTTCCATACATTTTTCATAGGCTATTTGCGGTATGGCCTTTAGCTCATTCAGCGAATTTTTTTATGGCTTCTATCGACTCAAAACGTTTTCCTCGAAGTGGTAATTTTAACTTGGGAAATAAAAAAAAGTGAGACGGAGCCATATCAGGTGAAAATACGGTGCTTGGTCGAGAACTTTTGTTGAATTTTTCGCTAAAAACTCTTTCACTATAATGGCTGTGTGTGATGGTGCATTATCATGGTGCAGCATCCATGAGTTGTGTTGCCACAAATCTGGACGTTTTCGGCGGATACTCTCACGCAAACGCTTCATGACGCCTAAATAATATTCTTTATTCACTGTTTCTCCCTTTGGAAGGAATTCGGAGTGAACCACATCACGGTAGTCAAAAAAAACTGTCAGCATCACCTTGATTTTGGAGCGACTTTGCCGTGGTTTTTTGGGTTTCGGCTCGTTTTCGAGACGCCATTCTGAAGACTGTTGGCATGTTTGCATGTCGTACTCATAAACCCATGTCTCGTCGCCAGTTATTATACGTTTCATAAAGGTCGGATCCGTAAAAGCTCGGGAAACCATGTCTTCAGCGACATGCTTTCGCTGCGCTCTTTGAACAAAATTGAGCTCTTTTGGAACTAGTCGAGCGGCGACGCGTTTCATGCCTAAAATGTCAATGAGAATGTTGTGGATGGACTTAAAAGATATGTTCACCTCACTAGCCAACTCTTTCAGACTCATACGTCGATTTTCGAGCACTAACTTCTTGATTTTGTCGATGTTTTCTTTGGTCGTAGCGGTTGAAGGTCTACCAGAACGAGGCAAGTCTACTACTACTTCTCGGCCTTCTTTAAAAGCCTTATACCATTCATAAGCCCTTGTTTTCGATATACACGATTCGCCGTAGTTATTTCGCAACATTTTTAGTGATTCACCACATGAAATATCATTCGAAACACAAAACTTAAGGCACAATCTTTGTTCAACAATATTTTCCATTGTAAAAATCGCCGAGAACTCAAAACTATGACCAACAAAAAGTGTAGTTTAAAACAAATTCATTTAATTTGAGATGATGACAGATCCCGCTCAAACTTTGCGCGCTAAATCAGTACAGTGCTACCAACATGCAGTAAAAAATATTAGAATGACCTCTTTTACGCGGGTCTTTTTATTGACATATTCCCGATACTTTTTACACAGAGTTGTATAAAATACTATAAATAACTTACATTTATATGATTAAATTATTAGATTTTTAAAATGTTTAAAAAAGTAACGTTCAGTTTTTTAGTATTTTTGTTATTTTATTTTAAAAGTGTAAGAATTTCAATAGATAATAGTGACGTCTATCAAAAATATTAAAATTGATAAGGTATTTATTTCAATTACTAATATATATGTAAAGTGATAAAAACTGGTCTGTAATTGTTGCAAAATTTTCATTATCATCATAGTTTTATTAAAGAGATTTTTATGTAACTCGTGGCCAGATCGTAGAATTGATCACATATCATAAAGTAGTCAATCATTTCGTGAAAACACTGAAAAAATGACTGAAATGAATGTGTATTTGACACTATTTGATGACCGTGTCGTGATATAGCTTGACCAAATCAATGAATAGAAATCTTTTGAAGTTATTAGTAACTAAACACAACGTTGCTATTTCATAATATGGTCATATGACGATATCATTATCGTTTTTCATCGCTAGCGGCGCTGATAGCTTATTTTTAACAGAAACAGAACTTTTAAGAGCATTGACTTAACTTTATCCCTTATCGATATAATAAATAAATGTTTGTTTCTATTGCTGATATTACTAGATGATATAGTTTTGGCTTTCATTATTTCATGTAATATTAGCGCCACCTACTTACTGCTAAGTAAATTAAAATGGCAAGACATTTATAAAATGAAATAATACAATGCTACTGAATATACGATGTAAATAATTGAATCATTTACATTACGTTCATCCCGCGTTGGAATCAGTGCAGCGAACTCTTTTTTGTCCAAAAACTCTACAGCCTGTGCCCAGTAGTAGCATGTATGTAAGCTGCTTTTTTACTTTTCATGGGGCAATATATGCAGTTTTTATTTCATTCGTGTTTTCGGGTATGATAATTTATGTTTTCACTCTACCGTAAATATTAAGG